GACCTATCTTTAATTCAAACATGTATCCAAATGTTTTAAGCAAGCTCCCACTGAATCTGGCTGAATCGGCAAAAACCAACAGACAATCAATATATGCATTTTTGAAACAATTTGTTATATAAAGTTCATTTTTGTCATTGATTTTGAAAGGAAAGGGTCATAAATACATGTAGATATAGAATTAGAATATCTAGACTACACTGAAATGAAGTAAGAAGACTGATAATTTTGTGTACAAACTTTCTGATGAAAATATAGATATTTTTAATAAAAAGAATTAGTATAAAACTAAGTTGTCACTCATATTCATTGGATTACCTACACTACAAATACAGATAGAAAAGCCAATTTTTACTCGTCAAAACATTAAAAAGATTTTCAAAATCTTAAGTTAGGGAAGGTAACATTAGGTTTATTAAAATGTTAGGTGTTATTTCAATAGTGTTTAAAATGTGGTGGAACGGTGTTTTGAAATGTATTTTCAACTTCTTTTAAAATAATCATTTACAAGTAGTCATCATTTTAATAGTAAACTCAATAAATGAATTAAAAATGTTGGAGAACATAAAGAACCATTAATCCTTGTATTTTTTAAAAGTTAAGTTATTTCAATAAGTCTTGCAATTTTGTTTTAGTATTAATTATCAGCAACTATCAAAATTATTTTTTAAATCACTTTTGAAATCATTATTTCAATACTATTGAAAAATTTATTTCAAATGTGAACTTTATTTTATGTTTGGTATTGAAATGTGCTCCAAACCACTATTGAAATAATTATTCCAACAGTGGTTGCAACCTATGTTTGGAATTGAAATGCACCCTCAACAACTATTGAAATAATTATTTCAATAGTGGTCGTATTTCAGTAGTGGTTGCATACTATGTTTGTTATTGAAATGCACTCTCAACCACAATTGAAATAATTATTTCAATAGTGGTCGTATTTCAATAGTAGTTGCATATTATTATGTTTGCTATTGAAATGCACTCTCAACCACAATTGAAATAATTATTTCAATAGTGGTCATTATTTCAAAAGTGGTTGCCGTTATTCCAATAATGATTGCAACATAGCGTGTTGTTTTGACTTTAACAGAGTGATGATATACAAGCCTTCCAGGATGTGTATGAAAAAGTCTACCGATGCTGTCGAGGGTTTTATGATAGTGTTACATCGTGAGAATTTTAAGACTTCTACAATTTAGAGCTCAAAGATTGTTAAAATATTGACAATATACCATATGTTATTGTAAATATCATGCCAAGCAATTTTATTTTACATAAGCAACTTAATAAAGTTATTGTATGGAAGATGTGTTTTTTACATAGACTTTTATCTTTGTTATATAATATTAGTTATCCAGGTTCAATCAAGGGTGTACGGGGATTTACCCCGGGTTGTATTCCATACACCCTGCGGCCGAAGGCTGAAGGGTGTACGGGGAATACAACCCGGGGTAAATCCCCGTTCACCCTTGATTGGACCTGGATAACGAATTTATTTCCTTTGTACCCATAAAAATGCTTTGTAAACATGATTTTTAGCTTTTATCATAGAGAGTGAATGCATTGTGACGTCACGTTTTATTTACACCCGGCTCAAGTCGGGTGCACGGATATTTACACCCGACTTTGTAACCAATCAACGCTCGTGTTGCAAGCTAGATAGGAAATAACATACTTTATGCAGTTGTCAAATTTTGACAAAACTGTATATATGGAAATATGGAGGAATTAAAATACAGTCTTTCCCATTCCTATACCTTTTGTGTTTGAAATAGAAGAAATTAAAGAATTTGAAAATGCTGAGATCTAAATAATGATCTGTTAAATCATATTACTTTTTTTTTTAACTGTAGAGACTTTAAATACCTATCATATAGCATGGTAAAGAACTTCCATTCTTTATTTAATGGAAAATTGGTTATGAATCAATCTTGTTGTCCACTGATTTAGTTGTTGTTTTCCCTTTTAAAGCTATGCATACATAAAAATGCATTGTGTTTTTACACATACAAGATCTAATAAAAATATACTGAAAACTGGAACATGTTATCAGAAGTGTTTAAAGTATTGAAATCTGTAATCACCATTGGCACAATACAGATTGGAAGGAAAACAAACACGAACATCTGCAAGCTACAGAAGTGGGTTCAGGTACCATTAAGAAGTAAGCTTCTCCTGATAATTGGTCAATGCCGTCGTGTGCTCTTAAGCATCAGGCAAACGGAAAAACATGAAGGCAGTTCAATGTAAATAGACGTATTTGCCATAACATTTTATGGGAATAAAATTATTTACTTCGTATTTGCTTTTAAGGTCATCAACCATGTTGCCTTCAGAAGTAAATGTTCATATCCTTGTATAAATCAATTTATTTCTCAATGGCTTGCTTCAAATTCTGAAAATTTTCATACGTAGAGCATGCTTTTGTATATCAAATCAACTCCATATGCAGTTTAAAATGGTATATTGTTACACATAGAAGTAAGGGAATTTGACGATAGAAAAGTCTAAGTCATCCTGTTTATCATAGAGTTTTGTTATTAATTAACCCTATATGTATTTTCTAGGAAAATATCTAAATATTAAACAAATGCGTCAGAATGTGTTACCTTTTTGAGTTGAAAGGAATATACATTGAATCCATGTAGGAATTGAAATGAATATTGTGAATTCGATTCATCTTATCTATGCTAGTATCTAAATGCTTTTTTTACTAGTTTGATAATTCAAGAGAAGTTCTCTTTTGTACAGCTGTTTTTGGACGTGTTTAAGCTGTTTGTCTTTTAAAATTATACGACATAAAATCAGCAGTGCTAGTACTTAAACCCATGTCTTGCTAAAATAATCGGAACTGCATGTTTTAATCTGATATTACCATGCAGTTGACGTTATTTGGACAATTCCTTTTTCGTCCTATTTTATTTAGGAGTTTATGTCTCTTAGTTGATTCGATACGAAGGAACATTATTTATGAACAATTTCTTAAAAAAGACTAGAGGTACTGTGAGCAATGAGCTCACTAAATGATACCCCCGCCTCCCATATGAAATATAATGGCAAAGTCCATGTTTTGCTGTGGCCAGGAAACCCAAAATATGTGTCGGATCGAAAAATAAAATAGGAGGTGCACAATGGCAGTATGTAATAAAGATTCTATGAAAGTTTCATTAAATTTCACTAAGCGGTATAAGAGGAGTTGCGGATAAGAGATGGGTACCCCAAAGCGTAACAGACGGACGGACGGACGTACATACCGATTACGGTATACCCTCACACTTTTCAAGCGGGGGGTATAACAAGCTAGTGACGAACAATTTGATGGAACAAGGAAATGAACTGTCTTATTTGAAGTCTTTTGGGCGATACAGTGGTCTTTTCAGCAAAATGTGTACAACCTATCATTAAGTTAAAAGCTGACTGACGTTTTTCATACTAAATGTTAGACCATTATTTACCCACTGAATTTTCTACGGATTTTTCGTTTTCCCGATAATGACAAGGAGCAACCGGCGGGTGTGACTGATCAGCAAGGGAGGCTGACTTCTCTATTATACCTGATCCCACCTCTGATTAGCTCTACTGGTCAGAGACCAGGAGAGCTTATGCGATAGTAATGCGTCCGTCGTCCCTACATCTGTCTAGCTGTCCGTCTCTCTGTCCGTTAACAATTTTTCAAAATGCTACTTCTCTTACAGTTTTGGTTTGATTTCAATTTAACTTGGCACACAAGTAGACTATACTAAGATACATAATTCTGTGCATCGGTTTTTGATTTCGATGAACGGTTTTGCCGTGGTTACTAAAAATAGAAATTTCTGTGAAATGCTTTCAAAATGCTACTCCTCCTACACTTTTGGCCTGATTTCAATATAAGTTGGCACACAAGTAGACTATACTAAAATACATAATTCTATGCATAGGGTTTTGATTTCGATGAACGGTGTTGCCGTGGTTACTAAAAATAGAAATTTCTGTTAAATGCTTTCAAAATGCTACTCCTCCTCTAGTTTTGGTCTGATTTCAATATACAGTCAAACTTTGTTATCTCGAACCTGATGGAACTGAGATAAAACTTCGAGATATCTGAAGTTGAGATATCGAAGGTTAATTACTTAAAGGATATGTGGCAATGGGAATTTGAAATCACTTCGACATATCCATGGTATTCGAGATATCGGAGTTCGAGATACCGAAGTTCAACTGTAACTTGGCACACAAGTAGACTATACTAAGATACATAACTCTGTGCATCGGTTTTTGATTTCGATGAATGGTGTTGCCGTGGTAACTAAAAATAGGAATTTCTGTAAAATAATTTTCAAATGCTATGACAAGTACAGTTTTAGTTTGATTATAATATAATATGGCATGCAGATAGACTTTTCGAAGATACATTATTGTCTTTATTGTTTTTAAAAATTTATTTTGATGAATGATGTTGCCACGGTAACTAAAATTTAAAATTCTGTAAAATTTTATTAAAAGCTACTCTTACAGTTGTAGTCTTATTGCAGTATCGCCACAACAAAGACTTAATCAAGGATCATTTCTCTATTTATTGCTATTTTAAAGTTTCAAGTCTCAACTGCTTTTTTTCTCTTCCTTTGTTATAAGTGTAAACCAGTAGAGCTACAGTCTCAACAGAGACTTCTGTTTTTTTTAGGTCCATGTTTGCTCTGCTCCTGATTTGTATTGTTTAAATGGACTCTGAACATAAATACTGTTCGCTATCTTCATAATGCATTTTAGAGAATTCTCGACCTTATATGTGAATACCACGTTTAAAAGAGGTAATTTTTTTTTATCCGTAAAAAGTCATACACGGCCGTGGTTATATATCTCGGTGCACCAAATCAAAAAACTTTTACAGTGATCCAACATTTTCTCCATTGCATAATGAATTAACAATGCAGTATAAAAAACCTCAAAGTCTTAATTTATTGTTAACGAGCTTTACATATAATATTCTAATTAATCACAATACAAATGGCTGGCACAAACATTAAAATCACTCTCGTGAATATACATACTCTGATGCTCATATGCTCAGAATAGCAAAGCAATTGAAATAATGTTTTCCATATACATGTACTTGTGTATTTGAAATTTGTTCCCAAATTCTTATATTAATTTTTTTAAAATAGTGTACACATGTATAATCAATGATAGTTTAGTTATTTTTTCTTGACACGAATTAAATATATTTTATATGACGTTTTCTCGGTAGATCAAAGTAAAAGGTGTGGCAGGTACGTTTAGTTTTACGAGCTGTTCTTTTTATAAAGGCTTCAAAGCAAGATAATAATATTTCGTAAGTCGAAGCGTTTCTAAAACGCAATTTTTTAAGCAATAGAGCATGGACTAAAAAAATGAAAGAAAACAATAACTATTCAAAATAATATAATCATAAGCAAACATCACGTTCATCGTGTATCCTAAGGGAACATGAAAACAATTGTAGAAAAAAAATCTATCAAAGAATACTTAAGAGTACAAAATAAATATTAATTTGGCATGTAATGAGCATTTACAATGTACATAAACAAATAAACAAAGCCTGCAATTGCAAAATCCTCCGATTTCGATGCAATTGCATCAATTAGATAAGTCTAATTTACAAAGATCCATATACAAAAGTCATTCCAGTCTTTCTCTGATATGTGTTCTGTATCAGAACTTAAATCAAAAAGCTTAAGACAGCAGTATAATGGATAAGAACAATTACTTTCAAATCTTCAGTATGGATTTGTTTGGTCAAATCAAGCCTACATTGTCTGAGTAGCCCAAGGCCAGAACAGATTGTTTATTCCTCACGTGGAAAAGAATCGCTGGACTTTCTCTGTAAGCAATTGGATAAAGGAAGTCGGCATCATAGTGTGAGACGCGTTGGCGTATTTGAAATAGTTATATGGTTGCGAAATGACCTCCATCAACACGCTTAGCAGCTTCCTGTCCTGTAAAGCAATTGCAATATTTACATGAACAATCGTCTTTCGTCGTATGAAATGTAGTTTGAAGAAATCCAATATGAGATAAACACAATAATGTTACGTCATAACAGAACAGAGAGATCAGTATGTATCCTGACATTGGAGAAGATGTACTTTGAAGTCTTTGGTACATTGTATATTCACAATTACGGTACCGTTTGAGGATTCAGTAACAATGATTGACAAGCATCGAAATAATGCTAGAGGCTGGACTAAATTTATGATTTTCAATTTAAAAAATCACAGATCTACGTGTATAGATAAACTTCAGCCAACGAATGTGTATATACATATACTGTGAAGCCAAAATGGTAGCCCGTGCCAAAGGAAAAACGCTTTTACTTAATATAAATTCATATTTATACACGCTGGGATAATATACTAGTATGCATACTAAATGGTACCTTTTATAGATCCTGTATAAAGAGCGGTAAGTCAAAACTTTAAAGGATTGAAATGATACTCTTTTACAGAGTAAAAGAAGTCAACGAACCTTCAGAATTGATTGATGTTGGTAAGAGCTATACAATCTTCCGTCTCTCACAATATCTTCAATTAAAGGCTGATAATCCTCTGAAATAAGCAAGCATGAAATAATTGTCTGCATTGTGCATAACATAACAAACAAGAAATCTGTGAGCCAATGCTCACTAGTAATACCCCGCTCTGATGTAGATAAACAACTATCATGTTAATTTACACAAGTTCAATTACAGGCAGATGCACAGAAAAATTTGAAGTTGACTTCAGATTCATTTCAAAATTAATCCCACCATATGACTTGCCTCAACAAAGAGTGTACTAAAAGTAAGCATCTGCTATGAATAGTTAATGAGACAACTGCGACGAAAAATTTGTAATGTATGAAACGGACAGACACACAGACAAACAGGAAGTTGACATCGGGTTTGAACAAAAATGAATCCCAACGTATGGCATGCCTCAGAGAAGATTGTGTTAAAATTTCAAGCATCTGCGATAAGTAGTTGCTGAGAAATTCTACAATAAGTAGTTGTTGAGAAAACTGTGACGAAAATTTGTTATGTATGAAA